TATATAGAGATGGAAAAGCATGAGTCAAAGTTCTGAATGATCAAGAGGTTGGTCTATAGGATAGATGTTACCTCCATCACTGGCAGGATCGTCACCGGCCAAATCCATATCCGATGCTTGTGAAACTACACGCGGCTTGCGGGCTAATCTCTTCCGCCTAGCGGTAGGGGCAACAATCGAAGGTCTCGCCTGGGGAGAAGACTTAATAATTCTGGGAGATAAAGGGAAAGAGTAAGAAACTGACCTCATTCAGAATAGTCCTCGTGATCTTCAAGATCTTCGCCTGAAGCTTCATCAGCAGAATGAAAGATCTTCTTTCCCTCTTCGTCAATCCGACGGGTCTTGTGCCGTGCCCTTTGTGATCGAGCATTCTCCCAAATCATACGGGAATCAGCCTGAGAAGCCTCCTCAGCCTCTAGCTCTGCAATCGGCTTCACAAGAATAATTTTATTGGCTGCTAACCACACTTCAGCTTTAGGAAAGGGAGGTTTAAGTCGGCGGCCGCTCAGAACGTTCGGGAGAAATGAAATTTAGCAGCCGAAGACAGCCCGTCACGGTCCCACAAGCATGGCACGAAGACCGTCACCAAACCGCCGTGGGTCCCGAAGCTGCTGACGTGATTCCGACATAAAGCTGATCAATATCCAAACTGCGAGCGAAATCGGCAGTGTAGGTATGGCTCTATGAAAAAGGCACTCGATTCTCACTCCAAAAAGGCACATAACCCCGGCCTGATGTTCACCAGCCAGTTATAAGCAGCCGATGTCGGCAATGAGTCCGATAACTCCCTCGCCATCTCCCTGCATGCAAATCAGACAATTGTATGTCGCCGTATTCGGCCCGAGAACTGCGGAAACAAGCGGATAAACGGCCCAACACTTGTGGACCATGTAGCGTGCTGTCTGACCTCAAGGGAATCCTCGCGCCGCTGCCCACATTTGCATTCTCAAACAACTGTAGTAGGGGAGCGGAGGGGTCTGTGGCATACGGTACTGACATCATATCAGAACGATGAAGGACGAACCAAGCCATCAAATAAGTGTACGGAAGCTCCACCTTAATAGTAGGAATCTGAGCCGGTGATTCACTTTCCTTCTGTGTAAAAGCACTAGAAATCTGTCGAAGCCCTCGATGAATGTTAGCCACCATCACCGGAAGAAGCGAAAGTTCCTTTTTGTAGGCAAGCTAAACCGCTGGGTAGAGCACCTCCAATGGCAAGATATCACTAGACTGATATGGGACCACGCATTTCTTTAACCAGATAGCGAGGTAACCGGCGAGAAGGGTCATCGGTCGAATCGGCGCGGTCGCATGCCACAAGAATGATTTAAACTTGGTCCCTGTAGGAAAACCACTCTCAGGACTGCTAATGGTATAGGAATGAGCATCAACCTTCTTCAGTAGATTATTCACCCCTGAAGGAGTGAGTGGATCCAGCTCACAAATAGCCTCGCCAGAATTGCTCTCTAGATTCCTGAACAAATAAGACGCAAACTGTTTCTGGCTCACATGGGATTTAGCCCTCTTCGCTAAAGGTTCAGACTGCGCCAAAGCGATCTGATAGTGACATGTGAGGTCCCATAAAGTCTCGTAGCGGTCGGGCATGCGATCCTTCAGCTGACTTAATTCTTGGTTGGAGGGAAAATATTCCTGATATAGCATCTGTCTCATGGGCAAACCAGAAATCCTGTGCATCTCATGGAGGGCCAAGCCCAACTCCCCTTGCCGTGTCAGAAAAGTGTTCGAATCCGGGTTGTAGAGCTCGCACAAAGCGAAGAAATGCTTCGTGCTAACAGGTAAACCATACATGGTGGCACGAACGGCTGCATATAGACCACAAGCGTGCAACTCCTCGCTCCATCGGCTCAAGACGTACTTCGTCATGCGAGTCCACCAAAGCTTGTCCAAAGAATGGACCCAACCATAAAACCTGTGGCGTGTCGCAGGCATCTCCCGTCCTAAAGCAGCGAGGCGATTCTTCAAAGTAGAAGCAGAGGCAAGAAGCTCGTTACGCAGCGGTGCATCCAACCCCAATACTCCAGGATGTAATCCAGTGATGTGACTCCTGCTCGAACCAGGAGCTGCCTGATGAGTGATGTATCCGCAGTGAACGCTCTCATGCTCCTCCGTCAAGCGCCACGACATCTCCCGTGTCACAGCCTGACGCCGGAGCTCAGTCAACGAACGATGCCGAGGAATCTTCGGCAAATATATGAAACCACTGCCAGTCTTATGAAGCCACTGCTCAGCATCAATAAACACGGTATCCGGATCTCTGGCAGAATCGCCAAATAAAAAGTCGGTCTTCTTGAGAGGCTGGATCGAACTGGCATCCTTCACGAGGGGCGCATCTGTAATCAACTGGCGAAGAGCTCGATGTCCACCTTCCTTCACCACTTGGGCAACCTCTGTCGACGTGCCCGAAGCAAACTGAGGAGTGACTGGGATAGGGGAAAAATCATCGGAAGGCGAATAATACTCGCCACGGCGCCCGTACACTGCGTGAGATGAGAACGCCCCAGAAGGATATTCCACTGGAAGCAAAAATTTAAACAGTTGTTAGTCTCAATCATAAAAGGAAGTTGAACTCATCCTACGAATGGGTAAGATAGAGTCACTGCCTTATAAAGGGTGAGACGATTTGGCCACATTATGCACTTATAAGATAGGATATATCGACTATATATCCCTGCCTTATAAGGCACAATGCAACGTCAAAACGCCCCCTTTATTGATTTTGAGATATGGTTTTGACCAAGCAAAACATATCTTTAAAGCGTCGATCCTCGCCAAGGAGAATCAAGGCTCTTCCCGATTGCCTCGCCAAGGAGAACAAAATGGGGTGAAAAGGACCAATTTGCAAATTTCCAAGAAAAAAATGGACTAATTTGTAAATTTCGGGTGAAAAGGACCAATTTGCAAATTTCTAAGAAAAAATGGACTAATTTGTAAATGTCCAAAAATAGCTCACCAGCATAAGAGGGAGGCGCGCCATCAGCCGACGCGGTAGATGATTGACCCCTCGCAATACGAGACATAGAGACCTGCAAAATAAGTTAAAGGATCAGATCTAAGAAAAAGTTCCTCTTTTTTGCAATTCCCCCCCCTGAGAGGTGAGCTCGAGGCGCCAAATCTTAATCCTAACCCTCGCATGCGACCCCACAAATTCATAAATTGAATTAAGCATAAAAAATGCTAAAATGGTTGAGGATTTACCTGAGGAAAAGCTCGTGGATCCAATAAAAATCAGATCTTGAAAGAGACTCAGACCACGCGCTCGAGGGGCCTGAGAGAAATTCTAAATATGGAAGTTTTGAGGGATTTCTCAGTCAAAGATCCAAAGGAAGACTAGATCTAATGCAACTATAAAGTTTTGAGGGAGAAAGGATGCTCGAGGGAAGAGAAAAGTGAAAAAGAAAGAGAGAGGGGGGCCGACCCTAATGAAGAGGAAAAACCCTCTTTTATAATGTTGAACCAAGCCTAGTTGAACCGGACCAGACCAAATTGAACCGAACCAGACCTGATTTGAACCAGAATTCAAATTGAAGCTGAATCAAGCATTGAAACAACTTCAAATCGACCGAGGGTTCAGTCATTGGTTTATTCTTGCCTCTCCCACATATTCGGAAGGATCAGAAAATTTTTTGAGCCGAATTACTGCCTTTTTGGCTCATTATCAAGCCGGTTCAGCTCATTTGGGCACATAAAATACTCCAATAAGGTATATGAGTATAAACTATTCCCTATTTTTGGTTGAGAAGTTCCTGGAGAATATTTTTTATAAATATTCTTAAGGATAACTCAACAACACTACGCCAGACAACGCGTCGCGAATAAAAACTCAACGCCGACAATCGATGGTCAGCTAAAGATTAGAAAATCAGGAGTCGACTTCAAGTTTAAAATTCCGACAACGGTCAGATAATAAATGCAGCACCAGAACTCTTACAGACATTCGATAAAGCACCGAATAGCCTGGAAGATTGAAGGAATCAAGAACGGAAGCCATTCCAAAGTCCCGTTACACCGACTGAAGGTTGGGACAATCATATCCAAAGTATTCCAGACTCTTCTATAAAAGAACGAGGCTGAAATACTTTGGAGGGGGTATCTGTAGGCGTATAAAATCGCTTATAGGTCCCTTAGCACAGCTCGGCACAAACCGACGAACCAACGAGGCGACGAGGTTGACGAATCGCACGCAAGCAACAGAATACATCCATTCGCGTGTGGAATCAAGCCAAGTGTTCGAAGAGTCAACGAGTCATCCAACCAAGGGCAGACTCGGACAAATCACGATCGAATCAAGATCAGTTTCGGACTCGAACTCAGAAGTGGATTTACTACCAAGCCGAGCCACCTAGGGGTGGCCGGCCACTTGTGGCCGAGCCACCTCAGCCCAGATCTGTGCCTGGGCACAGATCTGGGTGCCTATAAATAGGCCATGGGTTGTTCATTTCAAAAGGTTAGAACTTTGAGAGCCGAAACTCTGCCGAATTGAAGATCGAGCTTGGAGTTTTGAAGACTTGAGGACTTGAAGATTCAGATCTGATTCTCGGCGAGCGTCCACGTCACAAAAGGCAGGAGTTCGAGAGAGGTAAAGTTCAGATCTGAGATCTACACGAAACTACACTCCGGATCAAAGCTTGGCCTTTGATCCCGAGATTTGGACGATTATTTCCTTGGTGAACTAATCCTCCCCGGCTATTATTCCCTTTGCGGAATAATACCCGTCGAATCGTGTAGATCCGACCAGATCTAGATCGCGCGGTGGTCCACGGATTAACCCCGGCGTCGGCAAAGAACCCACACAAAGCGAGCGACCGCAAAACAGGAGCTCGCGATTCGTTCAAAAGGAGAAAGTTGTAATCTTTATTTTATTTTCTTTGATTTTCGTTGTAACCAGATCTTAAAAAAAGACCGGATCTTTTGTAACTCAAAAAGTTGTTATTCAAGATGACAATGAATTTAATGAAGGCAATTTTCACCGCGAACAGGTTGCTATCAAGTATCATATCCATCCATATTTATATAAACCTGTAGAGGAACCCAAGCTCATATTCAGTTTATACAAAATATGACCATCAAATATCATTTTCTAATGGTTGCTTATGAGCTTGTTTCAGATTGCTTCAGATTCAATTTATTTCAGATTCAGTTTGTTTTAGACCAGTTGTAAAAAATGAAACAAAACCTGTCCACACACAAGCAAGTTGGACCCAAGAGCAGCTCAGATTGGACTTAAAACCCACAACAAACCAAGGCTGCCAGCAAGCCATATTACCAGCAAGTAACCAGTCTACTAATAAGCTCCTATAACCAGCAAGTAAGCAGCCGCAAGTAAGCTTAGACCATCTGCAAAAAATGAAACAAAACCCTCCTGCTATTAAAGCAAGCAACTCATATAACCAAGGCTGCAAGCAAGCAGCCGCAAACAAGAAAGATGGACCCAAGAACACAAGCAACAACACCCTCATGTAAGCTCAGGCCAGCTGCAAAAATTAAAACAAAACCTTCCTGCTGCTTAATAGCAGCTCATATAACCAAGGTTGCAAGCAAGCAGCCGCAAACAAGCAAGTTGGACATATGCAAAAATTGTCAACGATATCGTCATAACCACAAATCCATATGTGACCAATCATCATAGTTGCCATAAAAAACATGCTCAGTAACAAGCTCACAAGCAACCATTAGAAAACAAACTGAATCTGAAATAAATTGAATCTGAAACAAACTGAATCTGAAACAAGCTCACAAGAAAATCATAGAAAACAAACTGAATCTGAAACAAACATGCTTAGTAACAAGCTTACAAGCAACCATTGAAACAAACTGAATCTGAAACAACCAAGTTCACAAGTCATCAAAAACAATTTCGTCTCCAAATCCAAGCAATGGAACGAGATAAGATAAAATAATAGCCATGATGAACTTACCAAACCTTGCTGCCTCTGATGAAAACATGCTCAAGTTGTGACACTTTTCCATCCTATAACAAAAGTTTGAAAGTCTACAGATTATACAAAAAAACTGACATGACAAAAGCTCCAGAAGGAAAACACTATGATGGTACGAAACAAAACAACCATAGCTATATAGCTACAAGGAGAGTTAACTAATGGTGTTCATAGACAAGGGGAACAAGATTGAACAAAATGTTAAGATGGGTGGCAATAGAACAAATTTAAAAGACGAGATAACAAAATAGTAGAAACTTTTGGAAAGGGCAATATATGTTTCATGAGACCTAGAAACTCCAACAAGCATCAACATCTTTGTTCTATCAAAGTATATACTCGTATTAGTGTATTAAATCTACAAACTCCCAAAGTGGAGCAATATTTTAGCCAATTACCAAATAGAATCATAGCTGATAAAATCAATTATAATCACTAAACCCTAACTTTACCTTCCCCTTCAAAAAGAGATCGCCACTCGTTTTCCTCCCAAGCCCAATCTTCTACTCAAATTACACAATTCTCTCATTTCCAGTGACCAACTAATGACCCAAATAAAAAAATTAAAACAAAAGAACAAAACAAATTGATACCTTAGGATTCTCTCGAAGAGCAACCACTGGCGATGCGGCGGGTGAAGTAAGGCCAAGCGAGATCATCAAAGCCATGAGATCTGAAGTCCTCAATCTGAAATTTCAAGAAACTTGAGGGATCAAACTGTAAAATCAACTAGAAACGGAATGAAACGATAAAATTAGAGGGAGAAAACGCACTCGATCATGCTCCCTCTGTAGAGCTCACCGCTCTTGAGCTCCATCGTCACCACATGGTCCCCCGACTCGTGGAGGAGCTTCACCGGGATCCCTAGCCCCCTGCTCATCTCTCCCCTTTCTAGGGTTTTTTGCCCCCACTGAGTTCTAAAACCCTAGGTTTTGGTTGCCCCCCCAGCCCTGGGTTGCCTCAGCCCCGGGGCTTTAGTGGGCTTACCTTAGGGCCGGCCCTGACCGAGAACAAGATCAAGCAAAATAACCGCCACCGAAATCCTAATAGCAATCGCCATCGTCTTCACGGCCACCATCGCCCTATCCCTCCTCAAGATCAACTCCACCATCCTCGAATCATCCCCCCGCTGCCTCCGCCAAAGGCTCCACCTCCCTTGACGCTGACTCTGGTGCCGGAGGATCAGCATGTGAGAACCACGTGACGATTGATAGTGGTGGGTAAGAACAAGAGCGAGAAGAGGAGGCGGCAGGTAAAATAGGGTAGCGGGAAATAGAGGAGGCGGGTAAAAGAGGAGGGAGAAAGAACTGAAGCAGTGATGGGAATGAGGGTAGTTAGGTTTTTGGAGGGTGATAAAGAAATGAGTTGGCTAAAGAAGAGGATTTTACAAATCCTAAAATAAATTAGTTTTTTATGTTTTGGGGGTTCAATATCCCAAAATTTTTTGAAACAAACAAGGTTTATGGAATACCAAAACCCAAAACCCCCTTTTTTACATCCCAAAACTTGAAATCTATCCTATATCCCAAAAAAATGAAACAAACACCCCCTAAGTATCTTACCATTTGCTTCTGCCACTTGGCAATTTCTCCTTTTTTAATCATTTTCTTAAATTAAACATAAAAAAAATCAATCAATCTGTCTATATACTTTCTGTACTAAGAAGTCTACCCTTTACAAATGATACTTGGCACCATATTTGTAAATTGGACACATGTCACAACTCTTGAGCAATTAATAATTATTAATTCACATTAGTCTTTTTTATTGCCTCACAAAAACAACTGTTCCCTCATCTCCTTTCTCCATTCACTTTGCCGTTCTAGAAAATTTAACCAACGCTTTGAATTCCGCTACAAATTCACATTTTCTCAAATAATGTTGTCACGCCCCGCTTCCCAAAATACCCGTGAATCGAAACGTGAACAAGCCCGCTGTAGGCGTATAAAATTGCTTATAGGTCCCTTAGCACAGCTCGGCACAAACCGACGAACCAACGAGGCGACAAGGTTAACGAATCGCACGCAAGCAACGGAATACATCCATTCGCGTGTGGAATCAAGCCAAGGGTTCGAAGAGTCAACGAGTCATCCAACCAAGGGCAGACACGGACGAATCACGATCGAATCAAGATCAGTTTCGGACTCGAACTCAGAAGTGGATTTACTGCCAAATCAGGAATCGGATTTACTACCAAATCAGATCAACAAATCAGAGTCTAAGTCAACCGAATCACAGACAGAACCGAAAGACGTAAAAATGACGAAACCCAACGCCTAAGGGGGGCTCGGCCAAAGCCGAGCCACCCATGGGTGGCTCGGCCCAGTGCCGGCCACCCATAGGTGGCCGACCCAGATCTGTGCGCGGGCACAGTTCAGAGAGCCTATAAATAGGCCCCCTTGGTTCATTTTTCGGAGGTTGGATTTTTTGGAGGCGAAGCCCTGCTGGATTGAAGACTCAGATCTAAAAAAGATCCAAGCTTTGTTGGGACTTCGAGGACTTGCTCTTCCAGATCTGGTGCTCGGCGATCGTCAACGCCAAATAAGGCAAGAGTTCGAGAGGACCGGATCTCAGATCTACGCAGGCGTACTCCGGATCAAAGCTTGGTCTTTGATCCCGAGAATTAAAGGCTACTATTTCCTTGGCGAAATAGTACCCTCGGCTATTATTTCCTTGGCGAAATAATATCCATCGTACTGCATAGATCCGACCGGATCTAGATCTCGCGGTGGTCCACGGATAAACCCCGGCGCAGGCAAAGAACCCACAAAGCGAGCGACCGCAAAACAGGAGCTCGCGATTTGTTCGACAAAAGAGAAAAGTTGTAATTTTTATTTCCTTTTTTTGATCTCGTTGTAACCGGATCTTATAAAAAGACCGGATCTTTATAATCGACAAACTTTTACAAGAGTGTGCAATGGAATCAATGAAGGATACGATTTTTCCCGCGAACAATCTGGCGACCACAGTGGGAGCCGCCGATCTCGCTGCCGAGATCGGAGCGTCGGTCGCATGGTAGGCTGCTACCCATCGGTTATTCTAAGAGAATATTAGGATATGCGAGATAGGTCAGGTAGTTCAGGGACGTAGGAGTATGACTATTGACCGAAGTAGCAACACGTCACATGGTAGGTTACTACTTAGCCTGTGTTACTCGTGGTTGAAAACACCAACGAAGATCTCACCCCGCTGGATGCCAAAGCCGCATCGGGTAAGATTCCTCCAATTCCCAACCAGGTCGGATCTTCTCTGGCCAACCCTTCTGCCGCAGGGGACGTGGTGACTCTCTCGAAGAGAGCCCGCCAAAGGCAACGTCAACGCCTTGCGAAACAGTTCGCAAAGGCCATGGAGTCCGTTGACGGGATCCGCTACAACACGGATCTGCAAGAATCAAGAGATGGCAAAAAGCTCAACAATCAATGAATGGTGGTTGCCTTCTCATGCCGCCAACAATGGAATGGGTCCGTGTCAAACGAACGCGATCAATCGCTGGAGAGCGGCATTCGTCAGCGGCGCGCACTATCAGCGCAGGCACCGGGCTCAAGTGAAGAAGCCCGTAGGAAGTTGCAGAAAGAGGTGGCCAAGAAGCCACCATCAACCAGCAAAGTTTGGAGGCCGAAGTCTGAAGCGGCGGTTCAGACCCAAGAGCGTCAACTGCAGCCGTCGAAAGTTCAACTTCCGGCGAATCAATCCAGACCACCGATGATTTCCACAACTACTCCGGGAGATCCCGCAGGACCATCCCAGAAAAGGAAGTCAGTCTTGGAGCGCCTCGGTCCAATTCCCGACGAAAGAGGCAAAGCTCTAGTTCGAGAGAGTTTGGACCCAATGAAGAAGCCCAGAACGACTCAACACGCTGGGGGTCGCCGTCACCTCCAACGTGATAAAGAAATCAGGGCAGCTATGCGCACCAATTTGCGCATTGAAGTCCAAGAGCCCGCTGAGAACTCACGCCCAAAAAGGCATGTTTCGAGGCGCGTAACTTTTGAAAGCCCGAAGAAGGTAGTTCGCTCTCAGAAGGAAACGTTATCGTCTGATGATGATTACGTTATACCTGAGAAATCGTGCTAACACACGATAGGTTGCTCTGATTTTCAAACGGACGAGCTGTACTATCGTGCTGGGGGTACGAGCAAAGCCAGAAAGAGAAGTCCTCGAAGGCTAGAAACTCAGTGCCCTTGTTCAAAGCTCATTCGGGCGGTACTGTCTGAGTGCAACTGCATCAAGGCAGTCCCCGAAAGAATTTTAGTGTTCGAAAGGCTTACCACTAACATGACCAGCAGAGGGACATCGGCACGGGATAATCTCGAGTCAATTCTGAAAGCATCCCAGCGTATAACCCGTCTGCAGTCTGGAGCCATCAAACGAAAGACTTACGGTAGGGTTCGGACAAGGGTACCTTCAGAAGAT